TTGTGTCGGGACTAGGCTCCCTGCAGTCACTCATCAGGAAGGCCACGCTAAGCCCAGCACTGCTCCCTGCCGCTGGTGTCAGCTGAGGATGGCAGACGTGGCAGGAGATGTTGAGCTCCTTGCTCCAGGCTGCGTCTGCCTGGAGGGCACCAGTGCACCCAGGCTCTCCAGGACCTGCTCTTACGTTACAGCATGAGTCAGAGGATTATTAAGGATCTTTTCCAGCCATAAAACTTCTGAATTCACCCCCGAACCACTGCTGTACTGGTGAGACAGAAGCAGGCTTTAGCCTCACATGGTCTCCTCTATCCACAGCTCTTTTCTATAACTCTGCAGAACATCATCCAAACAGAGATGGCCTTGCTACAAACCACAGCTATGCCGATGCCTGCAGCATGGCAAAACAACAGATAAATCCAAAGACTTCCTTAAGCCATGGAGACCTTTGCCAACAAGACTGAGTATCGACCAGGCTGGCAGAGCCCCCGTGCTCGGCCCTTGGGCACCAATGCTTCCCAAGAGACCCACCACAGGGAAGGAGCACAACGGGACACGCAAGCCAAGAGCCATGCACCCCATGGCACTTCTCTGTACCTGCTCCATGCTGCTCCTGAAAATAGCAAACCTCAGATGTGCTTTCTGCTTGGCTTCAGGTCCCTGTCACGTGCTACAGAACCCAAGGGAGCATCCTCCAAGTTTTGCAGAGCTGAGGGCTAAGCTCTCCAAAACCCCTCCTGGCACCTTGTAGCACTTGCTAAATCTGTTCTCGCATCCGAGGAGTCCATTGCAATAAAAGGTTACCCATGTTATACAGGCTGCTCCACCACCGTTCCCCCAACAACATTTAGGAAGCTTTATGGATGGTGAATGCAGTGAACACGGAGGTTGCAATGAGGCTTTGCTGACAGACTTTGGATCCTGAAAGCCAAATTAAGTAGCAGTTTTGACACAGGTGACTGTGACCATGGCTGAATTCTGATTTTTCTCCAGTTCTGGGGTTCCTAGGGAGCACCACTGACTCTTGCTGCCTTTTTGCTAGAGAGATGGTCACTGGAAGGACTCCGATGCTCAGATCCCAGTGGGTATTTTGGTAGTAGTTAAGCGTTCAGCTCCCAATGATTTTTAGTGGGTATTGGACACTTAAACAGCATCTATCATGGGGATGTTTGGAGGTTGGACATCTGAGGTCTACACTCGTTAAGGAAGGGACTAATCCCTTCGAGCGTGGGTCCCTGCTGCTTAAAAAAAATGAGAGCACCGAGAAAACAAATAAGCCTGAAAAGCAGAAGATGTTTACATCAAGGAAATACAACCCCTATGTTAAACAAGTTCCAGACCACACTGAGGAGGAGAGCTGAGGAGTAATTACAAACAGGCGGTGAACTGCTGGCACCAGAATATCAACAAACATCACGTCCAAGGGTTAAAAAACATGGCATTTCAAGCCAGAACATAGATTTCTTTAATTTCTTTGCGCAAAGAAACACACTGGTACTTCCACGACAAACACGGTCCAAACATCAGCTTTGTTTACTACATATAAGTACTTTACAGTGCTAGAGTAATTCAATATGTTACCTACTGCACTTCCTTAACGAAGCAAGCACTAATACCGTTTTATCACCTGCTCTAATCTTGATGCTATCACTTCACGCGCCCGGATAATTCGCTCCATAACGTGGTACCTACAGCGTGTGCTGGACACAAGGCCCCGAGCAGCAGCTGATTTCCAGCAGCCTTGAGAACTCAATCTCTGCTAATCCGATCCCTTTAAAGCAACTCGGAGTCGAGCAAGCTAAGAAGGAGACACATGAAGTCACTTAGGCTTATCTCTCTAATTGCCTGCCTGTGAATCAGGATGTTTGGTGTCAGCCACCTGCACTCACATAGAAATGGAGATGAATTAATGTCAGTCAGAAAAAAATCAGACCTAAAATATTTATCATGAGCGTTTTCAGAACTGTAAGTGAAACTACTGAAATACTGCCTACTATTGCAAATCCAAATCCCATTCTCCTTGCACGGCACACATCAGGATAACAAAGCAAGCGTTCATGGCTTCCCTTTGCTGCAGCTCCTTCCAGGTCTCTTGCTATGTAACAGATTTGAATTCTCTGGACAGTTTTCCTGCATTGCCCAGTGCCCACACAGTGAAAATGTTAATGAATACAGTCCCATAAATATTTAATGCACATTTTCCTAGGAGCTTTGCTGTGATTAAATACCCACCTCCCTGCCAAGGCCAGCCTTTCTTTCATTTTTATCTTTGCACAAAATATCAAGAGCCGGGACTACACACGTACAATCAAACTGCGGGAAACATCACTGCATAAAACAACACCCAAAAGGCAAAAATCCAAACACACTGAATCTAAAGAGAAAGCCAGCCATAATTACTTCATCGCAGCAACCTCCCAGGACTTATAGAAAAAGGCAGAGGGGACAGGCCAACAATAAGCTTTCTTGCTGATTGCAGTTATTTCTCTGACTTTTTTTTTTTTGTCATTGGTCTCTGTCCACTTGCATCTGGAGGTCCTGGACGTGATGGGGACTTATGGCATGTAGTGTTCAGACTGGGATGGTGCCCAAGTACAGCTGTTGGGGCAGCAGAGACCTTCATCCAAAACAGTCTGGACTGAGCTATATACAGCATCTCCACGGCATCTCCTGCCCGTGTTGTCCCTTGGGCATCAGACACTGCCCCACTCTCAGCCCCACAAACACATGGAGCTGTGCTTGGAAGGACCGCTCCTATGCGCTTGCCTGCAGCATCCCGAAGACCTGAGTGCACGTTTTCTTTTATGTTTTTGTCTTTAAGGCTTGCTGTCACCTGCAGAGCCCGTCTCCTAGAAAAAACAATGCCCACCTTCCTGCATCGCTTCCGAAAACGCTGGCATCTTATCCATGCTGCATGTGGATTTGTAGGTCACCATCCATGAGCTGGGACCTCCTGCCTACCTAAGCTCCCAAGCAGCAGGGCCCTGTCCGAAGGGTTCACAGCTGAGCACCCCCTTACTTGGGGACCCCCTCTCGCTCCCTTCACTGGTACCACCGGCACCTCCTGGGGATCCTTACATCAGTCGATGGTGCTAACAAATTGCTCCCACTTTGCACGGCTCTCCAGGAGCTTCCCCAAAATCCCAGGCCACTAGCTCCAGGAAAGGCTGCTCATTTGGACTTGTAGACGCTTTCAGGGTGCCAGCTGCCTTGAGGAGAGGAAAAGATGTTCTAAAAGGTGTAGGGGGAAGAAAGGAGCCTTTTTCCCATTATTTTTTTCCTTCCCTGGGTGAACAAACTCACTGAAGGCATAAGCTGATCAAGTAGCTCATTAAGGGAATACCCGATAACTTAATCAAGGTCGTTAGAGAAACCAGCGTGTTGCTGCCATTATTTCAGCAGCGGCAGAACAAAAACAGGCTCGTGCAGCCAGAGCCTTCAAAGCCTCCGGGAGGCCGGAGCAGCCCGAGGCAGCGCGGCCCGGCACGGCTCCGCGCAACACTGCCTGCTTGTGCTGCACCGAGGGCTACACCCCGTCTGGGGCTGATTCAGGAAAACGCTCCAGTCTCCCGGCAATTTCCTGCAGACAGGACGTTTAATCATCTCCCAGCCTCTGCCGCAAAAATGCAAAGTAAATGATTCACACTTTTCAGCGGAATCTGCCTCAAAAACAAGCGCCGTCTTCTGCTCGGCGATGCAGCCCCCGTTTCCTGCTAACAGATGAAAAGTCAAGCGTGTTGGGCCATAAGCATCTCTCTTTTGGCATTTTTTTGACCAGCTCCTCCTGGGACAGGGGTTTTTGCACAGCTACATAACGGCTTTACAGGCTGATCCCTTTTTGTTGTTATTCCCCCCAAGAGCCACGTCCTCCTATGATGCCTGGGATTAAGAACAAGTAAATTTTTGCTGCTGGAGCTCACTTGCACCTTCAAGCCAGAAGTGCTGCCTTCCCAAATTCTGGCTGCCAATTCCTTTAGGAAGGGCTCCAGCCATCCCAACCCAGCGGATGCTGATTTCCCCCTGCTACATGGATAAAAACATCTGCTTGGAGGCCGAAGGAACACAAAGGCACACAAACAATCTGCCCTGCCCAAACAAATGCAAAGAGGGGACCATGCTAAACACACCTAAGAGCAGCAAACAGCTGAAGTAACTTTATCCCGGCCAAGCCAAGTTTGCATTCCGCTCCAAGAAGCCTTTTTTCCAGCCGAACACGTCATTTGTCACTAGCGAGCCAAGCTGTAAAATGCAGCTTCCTATTTGCTTAATTCCAAAAGTACTCAAAAGCAGTTGAATTCAGCAAATTTGATTAAGTGCTTAAAAGTCTCCATTTCACTTAAAAGCAACATTTGTTTCTCCTTAAAGAAACAGGAGTTTTTTTCTCCAGAATTTACAATTGAAAGAAATCTAACATCCTAAAGTTTAAAATAGCTCTTCATCCTATAAACACAGCTGTCAAAGGTTCAAAATTTGCATTTTGCCATTCCACACAAATCCTTGGAACAGCTGAGCAGGCAAGCAGTACATTTTGAAACCGAGAGCTAAAGATAAGCTGCAGACTCCCACAACTTTGCACTTCACATGCTCGCACAGAGTTAAAAAGAAAAAAGCCCGAGCAGCAAAGGAGCTGGCAAGAGAAGCGCCACAAAAGCCATTCGTGTTGAGTAAAAAAATTTTACGGTGCCTGCAAGGTTCAAATATTAACAGGGCAATACTGAAGTCCAAGATGCCATCGTGGCGCGACAGCAGCAAACCCAGGCTCTGGATTTGCAGTGCTGGTTTGCAATGACAAGCAGTGATGGTTAAAGAGCAAAAACCTCCGTGAGCAGCTCAGCTACCGTGCGAGCTGCCCGGTAGTGGAAAAGCAGGGTTTGCACAATCAGGGTTTCCAAAAGCAGGCAGAAATGCAAGCGGAAAAGCAAATTACTCCCCAATGCAAATATTTGCACAGCATTAAAGCAGCTTAGGCTTTTGCCTCCTGTAAATTAAGCGCTGTTACTTACCAAGGCTAAATAGGCATTTATTCACACGTGGAAAAACAAGCACCCGACAGTGCGTAAGGCGAGAGAGGGGAGAGGATGAGAGGGGCAGGGCGCATCCTGCGGCGGCCGGACGAGCCCTCGGTCATCTGGGAAGCTGCAGCTCCCCAGCCGCTTTCCCGGCGTCGGAGTGACGCCCACCGGAGCTGGAGCTTATTGGAGAGAAAGCGCCAGCCCTAATCCAATCCTGGCCCTTTACCCAAATTTAGCTCTCGGCGGAGCCGGCGTCCCTTATGGTTTTGAGTAACGAGACGAAAGCCAAGTTACCTTGCCAGTCTATAAACCGCGTAGAGAGAAGCGATAAAGAGTCCACGCTCAATTTGCTTCACTTCTTTTCTCCCCAAAGGGTTTCTTCTTGGCTTCGACGGGACCCCAATGTTATAAGCACCTCCAGCAATCCGGCCTCTCGACATCTATCTCCCCATCAGAAGTCGGCAGGGTAAAATATTGCATTGCCCATAAAAGCGATCGCCGTGACGATGCCTTGCTGCACTGTGGCCACATCTGGGGCACAACTGCGTCTCGTAAGGAGCAGGTTTATAGCAGTGGTTAGTGCACAGCCCTGAAAGCCGCACCAAATTTCACAATGTTAACTACTGAATCACAAAGCGCTGCTGGCAACTAACAGCCCAAAAAGCACACACATATGGTTTTCCTTTTTTTTTTTTTTGGCATTCTGGGGTAGACATGAACTGCGCAGACACGTCTCTCTTTTTGCTGCACACCAGTCTCGATGCTTGGCTACAGTGTGAGCTTTGGACATGGCAGCAAAGTTGGGGGCTCTCTGCCAACAAGGGGTGGCCAAGGAGGAAAGTTGTTTGCACCACTTTGAGTTTCTGTGCTCAGCCTGGAGCAGCTACCTGAGAGCCTCATTAAACGGTATATAGAGACCCTGGCCCACACAGCATAGAACACACCGGAGAGGAAATTGGAGTCTAATTTGCATGGAGAACGATCACTTATTGCAACCAATTAGTGTCAAGCTGTGACTGACAGACTACCCAAAATAGGTTTTCCCTGCCCTCCCTCGTACCTTAAGTCTGGGCTTTTCTTATTTCCCCTGGATTACTAAGTAGGCAAGTGGTACCTTAGATGCCGGATGGAAAACGGAGACTTTTTGGGTACCCACACACCAAGCCCAAGCTGCAGCCACCCACCTGCAGCCAGGCACACCTCTCACCTGCACCACAGGTACAGAGAGGGGTCTGTTCAATCCTTCAGTCACCAAGTTAAGCTCTCAACAAGAAAATCACCAAATAAAAGCAGCATTTCCCCTTTCCCAAACATACACATTTTATCTGGCCTTTCCATCCCTGTTAATTGGTCTGCAATCACTTGGGAGACCTGGAGGAAACATTTGTGCCCACATAGCAACAGTCCTTGCGAAGTCCTTGTGCCTTGAGGGGAAAAAAAAAAAAAAAAGAAAAAACACACAATGCAATTTTCTGATGCTGACCCACTTTGATGGCTTCTGCTGAGGGAATGCAATTGCACCATCCCATAGCATTGCAGCCCCAGCCACCCTGCTCCAAGTCTTTGATGGACATACTGCAATCTTTCTCATATATATATATATATATAAATAAAAAAATATATATATAACATATATATTTAATTCATATGTACACCTACATAAGCACACATATATTTATATATGCATATAGCAAAAAAAATCATCCTCTGCTCTGTCAATGAAGTTATCATCAGTGCTGTCCACTGACTTTTAAACCCATGAATCAATGCCGAGTCTTGTGACATCGAGACTGAGAAAAACCACATCCCTGAGATAACAAGACCTTACACACAAGATTTGAGTGCTGAATAATCTTCTATTTTATCCCAATTAGCAATGTATAAATTGTTTGCTCACATGGCAGAAAACCCTGGCCCTCCCCCATATTGGATTAGTCTGCAAATTGGTAAATACACTTCAAAATATCTTAAACTACACATGGGGAACTGATCAGATGCCATTTATTTTCCATTTAGTGTTAAAGATGAAATGACTCATTCTGCCATTATCATTCTCCTCTTCCCAGGAACATGCTCCTTATTAACAGGACTAATTACCGTCCTTCGCTCCGAATGGCAATCTCTACAAGCACTTTGAATGCCTGAATTATGTCAGCATTTATATGTAACTGGCTGCATTATTTTTAATAAACTTGTTCTAAAGACAATCTCTTTGAGCACTCTTTGACTGCTCTTCTGCGAGCTCTTATGTATGCACACCCTGGCACGCAGGCACTGTGGTTTTTGATATTTAAGACCAGCTAATCAAATCTTCCTTCTACAAACACCAACAAAAAGCATATTTATGGACTTTATGGGTCTTCTGGACTGATAAGATAAGGCTTTTTATTTTTTTAATCTCTACAGGCTACATGCATACATGGCATTTTAAAGGAAACTTCTCCTGAGATTAACTGGAAATGCTCTGTGAAGCATCTCATAGCTGTTCAGCAATAGCAGGAGATGGGGAGAACCTCAGGTGGTGGAAAGCACCAGCAGGGATCCTTTGATTTCAGTTCGTTCCAAGCCCATGGCAATAAACTGATTTACACCACGGGAGCAAGCGCAGCCCTTCAAGAGGGACAAAGCAGCATCCCAGCATCATCTCAGCCAGGTCTTCTTCTGGCCACAGCCACCCCGAAGCTCACAGCCATGGTGACCCTGCTCCCTTGCATTGCATTAAAAGCCAATGTAATTCCCACAGGGATGCAATGATAATGCGTGTTCATTAGGCTCATCCTCTTGCGTTCACAGTGGAGTTTATCTCCCTCACAGCCGCCCCTTGCTTTCCTGCAGGGCCTGACTCGCTGCCACATTACCTGCAGCTCAGAGGACAGCACGTGCTGCTTGGGCCTGAACCTGCCCTCCCGCACTGCTCCCTGCTCCAGCTCCTCAGGGCCTACGGCCTCCAGCGGCTGCAATTCCCATGAATTCCCACTCTGAGCAACAGGTCAACCTGCTGCGACCATCCCTGAGGGGAGACTGGTGCAGATAACGGTAGCAAGGCTGGCTACAGAAGACCTGTCAAAAGGCAGAAGGCCTGAGCTCCTTGCAAGCTGCCTCAAGCTATGCTCAGGACTTACGGTATCGGCTTTTGGGCTGGGATTTGCTCAGGTTGGTCTGGATGGATTGGGCCCAGGACCTCCCCAGCTCCCCCTTCCCTATCCTGTCTGCATCTTTCACTGCCTGCGTGGGAGGAAAAGAGGAAATCAACTGACCACCATCTTCCTAAGCCCTTAAATACACAGCAACAGGCATAGCAGCAAAATCCAGAAGGTCAGGCCAGAACCTGGGCAGCAAACACGAGGCAGCCTTGTGGTCCTCATGAGGCACTCCCAAGAAGGTAACATGTTATTAAGAATATGCAAACTAATCCTGACCCTAAAACACTACAACCAGCTGATTAAACTGGCCAAGACGTCCCCAAAGACCTTTGTCCTTTACTTTTTTTGCTTGTTTTTTTAATGACCTCTTGGGAAAAGAGCAGCTTCTGCAGCATGGAGCCGTGTGGCTCTTTCGAGCTGTGTCACGTGCACTTGTGTACGTGTAAAAATGTTCCCGGCTGCTCCCACACACCACAGAACCATCTGCACAACGGAGCCCATCTCCTCTGGCCTGGGCTCCTTTCTGGAAGGGCTGAGATGGAGCTGATCCGCTTGGCATGGCATTCCACCCGGCCTGGGGTGTCGGGAGCAGCTCAGGAGGCATCGCTGCAGGCACATGCGGACCTGGAGAGGAACACACATCTGTGCAGACAGGCAGACATACCAGACAGCTGCAGTGCCACAAGATCAAGCTTTTAATGCATCGAAGTATGAAAAATGGAAGCACTCCCTTCCTCGAGCACGGAGTGACACTTATTCTCCCTTCTCTACTGCTATGCCTGTGCCTGAACTCAGACAGACAAAACTGTTTCTTGAATCAAGGGCTGCTGGCAAGGAAATGCAGGAGATGCAATCCACAGCAATTACCGGGATTCCTTATCCATGGCTCCAAGCATCCATGGCTCCTACTTTGCAGAGCTTCCCACGTCCTGAAATCCCAACCTTCTGCGACACTCAGGGCTGCCCGGTGCAGAGCCAGGACTTTTCCTGAACATCACGCTCAGCACTTGGGTTTTCACCCCTGCCCATCCCAAAATTCTCCTCTCAAGCAGGCTGCAGCAAGGTCACTCTGCACACACAAGTGCAATGAGCTGCTCTCGGTTCACAGCCCCTGCAGCACCTCGCACCCTTTGGAAGCTGCACATGATGGCAACTGCAAATACTCCTCCTTTCTTTCCAAGCATCCCCAAATCTCCAGCTCACGGAAGCTCTCCAGTGACAAAACATGCAGTTCTCAACATTAAAACCCCCTAAAACAAAACCCCATATGGGCACTACCCACACAAGCCAGAAGCAGTGATCTTGGTGACATCCAACCCGTACAACAAAGCAGCCCATTTTACCAGGACAGGATTTTTATATAGCTAAAACAGAAACAAAAATTGGCTCACAAAGATGAACGATGCCTGTGATACTTTTTTTGCCACACTTGATTAAATATAGCGCACAATATAACAGACTCATTTCTCCTCCTTGAATGAAAAACTCAAGCTTAAAATTAAGCCCAGTCGTGTAAGGAAGATCTTATATGGATTTCAAAAGTCACTGCAAACTTTCGGAAACTCTGGCTTGCATGGTGCACACACTCAGCACAACGGCCTGAGTACCTCTGGTGCCAAGGATGAACGGAGGGAAAGCTAAAAGCCACGCAGTGTTTTTATCTCAGCGTAGCCTACCCCGCTGTGTGCAGCTCTGCTTTGCATTTCCCGATAAACCACTCTTTGCTTTTGATCATTTTTCGTATGCAACTGTGGAGGCGAGTGCAAGATAGCATCAAGAAAAGAAAATCGGAAGAAAAAACACAGTCAAACACAGCAACCTGAAACGTGCTCTCTCCAAAGGGTATTTGTAGATACCAGAATTACCATTTCTCTTGAAGACAACTGATCCTTTTCATGAAAATATAATAAGC